AAAATAGTAAAACTAATAAATCTAAAAGATGCTTCTTTGAAAATACAGTAAAATCAGTATTAGCTAACTAATGGAGGGTGAAAATAGGGTACAAATACAGCAAATAAGAAATGGTAATGAAGAAAAACGTAGACAATACAGAAATTCAAAGACTCCTAAGACACTATTTGCTTAAGCAAATTTTGTTAAAGCCAGATAAAAATGAATAATTTTCTAGGAAATAGTATTTTCTGCAACTGACTTTCAAAGAGATAGAAAAACCTAAATGGAGAAATTGCCATAAACCAACCAGAAGAAATAAAAAAATTTGGGGTTTAAAGCTACCTTCCAAAATACATCAGACCCTGCTGATATCTCAGGGGAATGTGATCAAATACTTAAAACAGAGATCATTCCAGTGGTCTTTAGATGTTTCTAGAGCATATAAAAATATGAAAAGTTTTCATAGTTTTAAAAACCATGAAATGACTATTACATTGATTTTAAGACCAATATCCCCCAACCCAAAAGATACAAATGCCCCCAACCCAAAATATACAAATGCCAGCCTCAGTTATGAATATTGATGCAAAAATTCTAAATAAATTGTTAGCCAATGGAACTCTACAGCACATTAAAAAAATACATCATAACCAAGTGAGGCTCATTGTGGGAATGCAAGGATGGGTCAATATTTGGAAATCTATAGATAGAATTTACCATATTAACTGGTCAAATAAGAAAAACAATATTCATAAATGCTGAAAAGCATTTCGTGAAATTGAGCATTCATTCTTTAAAAAATATTCTTGATAAATATAGAATGAATGGATACTGATTTCACATGATAGTGTGTATCTATCGCAGTGGAAAGCCAGAATTTATCCCATTAAAGGCAGGAACAAAATAAGGGTGCCAGTTCTCAGCAGTTCTATTAAATTATTTTGTTTCTGGAGTTACTAGCCAAGAAAAATAACCAAGAGAGAGATATTAGTGGTATAAAATTGGAAAGGAGGACATACAGTTAGCACTATTGCCTATGCTGTATTTTACAGTTTCAAATTTCCCCTTTTCTTATTGTCCCTTTTTTCCCTTGAGCCAAAATTATGATTTTTTTTTCCTTTTGGAGAAAAGATTAAATTGATGTTATTTTTAATGAGGGTCCCAGCCATTAGAATACTTTTATTTTTTTTTTATTCCTACACAACATAGTGTGTAATTTTCAGCTGTTCTTGGTTGTCATTGTGTTTCAGGAACCTTGTAATACTCAGAATTCCCTCCTCTCCATGTTTGAAATGAAGGAGGTAGGAGAGAGAGAGAGAGAGAGAGAGAGAGGGAGAGAGAAGGGAGAGAGAGGGAGAGAGAAGGGAGAGAGAGGGAGAGAGAAGGGAGAGAGAGGGAGAGAGAAGGGAGAGAGAGGGAGAGAGAGGGAGAGAGAGAGAGAGTTGTCTGTGTGCATGTACTTGCTAGTTTTGGATTGGGTACTTTAAATTAACATAGAGATTTAAACTGCTGAGCGGTTACTTTCAGTATTTTTCAATACTCATAATAGAAGACAGGAAACGGATTTTACAGCCTTGGTTTATTTAATATCATTCCAGTAACCATGAGTGGGTTTTTCAGTTTCAATGCCTCTACACATCACTGAGAGGTTGAAAACAAATGGTTGCATTGGGAGTAGTTAAGCCTTATTTATACTTTCGTTATTGAAGCTTCATTTAAAACAGTTTCTACTGTATGTGTACTAAAATTAGGTTATTGGCGCCGGAGTCCCTTAAAGATATTAAACACTTATTTTCAAGATGTGTGCAAATGAGGGTAATAATATATTGCCTATAAGAATTGGTTACGTATAGAAATGGTTTTTATTTTAACTGACTTTTTCTGATTACAAATGTAATTATAGAAAATCAACCCTTATGGACATAAAATGTACACTGTTTAATAGAGCATAAATGTATATGCATCTTGGAATGTCCTTTTTTTTAATAGTGTATTTTAAATATTTTAGCATGCCATTTTTTTAGGACCTTACTTTTGAATAATTTCATATTTTTTATATGAAATTAATTTAAGCAGAGTCTTCATTTCTCTCCAGACTTCTTTACTCCTAACTCCTTTCTTTCCACAACTCCTCCCACTTTTGCTTTCTTCTTGTTAAGGGAAGTGAAATGAAGTACACTTTTATTACACAGTTTAATCTTCAAAGGGATAGGATTCGGCTATCCATGGTATTTAGTAATAGATGCTACTTTGCCTTATTGATGATTAAGCCACATCGTTGGTTGTATATTTGTCTGCTGGATCGCAAAATGGTACCGTTCAGGAAAATTTGCCAAATTTATATCAGAGTGATTTTTTTCTGGGATAAAAAGAGAAATCACAGAGTGTGTACTATAAAGTTATTCCATGTTACCCAATATGAAAGCCACTAGCCACCTGTGGCTATTTATATTTAAATTTAAATTAAATAAAAATTCCATTCTTCAGGTATGCTAGCCACAGTTGAAGTGCTCAGTTACCACATATGACTAGTCGAAATTACATATTGAAGAAGCAGATATATTGTGTTGTTGGACAAGTCATGATGTATTTTTTCTGTTTTTCATTGCAAAAACACGTCCCAATAGAATGATTTCAACATCACAGAAAGTTCTCTGGGACAACCTTGGCGTGAAGTCTATACATGTTACCTATTTATTGTGTTAGAGTTTAAAAATCATTTTGGTTTTTTAATTGTTCTTTCCTGGTATTAAAAAGCAGAATTTCTGTCAATATTTCTGGAAATAGTGAACAGCTCAAAATTATTTAGAGTAATTTTTACTTTCCTACCAACTTATCTTTTTCAAAGTATGTATTCAAGTAAAATACACATCAACATAGGGTTGCCAGAATTGGGAAAATCTAGGAGAACATTTAAAAAATTGTCGATATAGTACAAAGTCTAGAGGTGGGCAGAACTGGCTCTTGGACAAGGATCTAGAGAAGAGGATGTAGAAAGAGGAGCTGACTATTTTTAAAAGACAGAGGAAGAAAATTAAGTGGAGAAATAAGGTATTTATTTGGGGTATGTAATTTTGGTTATAATTATTTTATTAATATAAATTAATCTAGAAAAATTAGGAGCTATAGGAAACAAAAAATAAGGGGAGAGTGATGGAGAAGAATTGTCAATAATTCTGTCATCACTGAAAACAGCCATTACATTACTGTTTGTGACATATCTATCCAGCTTTCTTCCTGTGCCCTACAAACAGGTTGTATTAATTCACCAGTAGATGAGGTCAGGGAAGAATGCAGATGAGGTGCGAGTCTGAGAGGCAGGCAAAGCAGAGTGATACAGAGCTCTGAGCCTGAGCCAGACAGCCTAAGTGTCTAACGCCAACTCTGCGGGTTACTTACTATTTGCAGGACTGCACAAGCTGTTTCATTCCTGTGTATATGTCTATCTGTGAAATTTGGGATGATGTTGCTATCTACCTCTTAATGTACGTGTAAGGGTTAGGGTATTAAAATACTGAACTCATGGGAGACTGTAATACTTGTAGTACTGATTACTACTATGTAGGTACTCTAGGCACATGGTGTTTAGTAAGTACAAGCTTCTATATTTATAAGCACAGATTTAAACAAGTAATTGCAATAAAGTTAGAGGAGTTTATGAGAAGGTAAGTTCAGTGTTCTGACATAGTATTAATATTTGTTGAGGTGGCCTGATTCTTGATAATTACTTGAGTAAAATTAATGTAGCTCTTAGGATGGTTAGTTTTAAGTTTTACTTGAATGGTTTTTCAGATCAAACGTTACTCCTACTAAAGCTGTATTCTTGAAAATTTGTTTATTACTTGAATGTGATAAATGTTTAACAGTCTAATGTTAACAGCCCTGATCATTCTGGTAATACATAAAGTGTCAAATTCTTTCCCTGATGCTTTATGTACCAAGTTGCCAAAAAGGTAATAGAATCCTCTCTTACCAATAGCATCAGGGTATTCTAAATAAAATCTGTCTTCCAGACTTTTTACAAGAGAGTTTGGTTAGCATTGAGTATAATTAAAGAGCATATTACTTGATAACCCATTAGAAACAGGAAATTGTGAGGAGCAACTCTTTTTCATATATAGTGTGTGTGGGGGGCAGTTTGTTCAACTATAAATAAGAAGAAGTTAAAGTATGTTTCCAAGTATAAAATTTTAACTGCATCTAGATAAGAGTTGAATAGATTAAACGTGTGCTGATAGTATTGCATTTGGCCAAACATCTTTAATTTCTTAACTGCAATACTGGAATTTTAAAGGAGCTCAGTTTGTCTTATAATGCTATAAAATATATTGTTGCCTCTTTGTTTCTTGGGTAATGATGATGGGAAATGAAGTTCCAAAGTGTTTTTTATTTATTAATATAATTTTACTTGTTTTCCAATATGGAAAATTATTTTACTTACGCTAGCTGGTTATGAGAAATGTCTCTAGTTATGAGAAATCCCGTTGTTTCTTAGAAATTTGAATTCTGGGGGAAAGTTGGCAATTTGGAAAAAAAAAAAAAAAAGGAACGGTGTGTTCCTGGAGTGCTGGCACACAGGTTCACACAGCGCCAACTTCTTCACCCTTGAGGGTTATTACACACTGAACTGTCAGAATGTGGCTGCCATTTTACCGCTTTGCTTTAATCATAATTTATCTTTTTAGCAGGAATATAAACTGCAATCAATACTTGAAGTGTTGAAGCAATATGTTTTAGAAATTAAAGATTTTATAAAGCTAATGGAAACAAAGGTCTAATTTCTATGTAGATTCTATTGGATGACCATTTTTCCCCCATTTGACTTCATGTTATAAACACTGGACCTATAGTAATAGATGAATTATGCACATATATGTGTCCTCCATAGGTTGATAGAAACATATACATTTTGTTTAGAATGTTCAATGGATCGGTTTCTATCTACAACGATAAAAATAGTTAAATGTCTGAGATTGTTTGCTCGCAGGTGAACTTATATTTATTTGCTTTTCTTCCAGATTCATGAAAAACTACACTATTATGAAAAGCAGAACCCGGTGCCCATCCTCCATGGCGCGGCAGCCTTGGCTGATGATGTAAGTGTTCCCTTTCTGAGATCACTGGGGCACGTCTCCCACCAGCCTGGCTGCAGCAGAACACATCCTAGCACAGAAAGATGCACATGAAAACCAGAAGAAGTTGCAAATGTTTCCAAAATCCCTGTCATCACTGAGCTTATGCTGATAGTCTGCTGATTTTCACTCACTTTCCTGTTCTGAAATTTTGCATGTAGATACCTCCTTGTTCTGCCTTGGTAACTACGTAATAGAAATTTTAGGCTGTACCTCTCTGGGGAGAGAGAAGCTGTCAGCTATTAGTGTTCGGAGAAAGTCACAGACAAGAGGAATGCTTTGGAGAAATAAAGACAAATGAGATAGTTCTATTGCTGACAGTACTAAAAAAATGACAGATACTAGTAGGGGAATGAGGCATATGAAATACATAAAAAGACAGGATTGTTTTTAATATGGATTATAAAGCATAGTAATGATTTATGGGTATTAGACCTTTCCAAATTACCTTCATAACCAAAAAATAAATTTTAGAAGAAGTTGGCATTGATGGAGTAGTTAATTTCCTGTAGCTATAATTTTATTTTCAATCTGGGGGAGGGAACTAACTTGCTGTTTCTTACTGTTAATTTTCAGACTCGGATGAATTGAGAGCACACCTGGATAAACTATAAGGGACACTAAGCTAGACGAGAAATATGTTTAGTGTAAAGGCTGGTTTCAGTGACCTTTGGGAACTTATTTGTTGCTCTTTAAGTTTTTACTTTGTTATGATAAAAGAAACCATTCAGTTTAGTAAAATATCAGGGCTGCATCATAAATGTGATTCAAAAATTGACCATCTTCAGAGGCTGATTTTCTTTGATATAGTTTATATTCTGATTTAGAAAATAAAGCATATATAATAAATTTCCAAGTTGTGTGCTATTTGTTTAGTCCCCAAACATTTTTATTTTCTTTAATCTACAGCAAGGGTGTTCCAATATAGGTATTTTATGAGGAATCTTACCTCTGCATCATACAGCCATAACATTTAAAATGAAGATGAATAAAAATGGAGATATAGTTCTACAAAAAGCTGCAGTTGCCACTTGAGAAAGCCTTAAAAACTAGTTTTTAAAAATTTACTTTTGAGAATTTGGGGAAATACTTGTTTATAAAATGATGCACTTGAGGCCCCATAATATTACAACAATATTGCTTTTCTAAATAACTTAGAGACAATTATGTAAATATGGTAAAACATAGCATTTTATAATTCATCAGAGCAATGTATTGGAATGTTTAAAAATATTGCTATATATTAAGTGACCAAAGAGAGCTAAGAGCCCTTTGTGACTTTTTGTAAGTTAATTTTATAAAAATGTTACCTTGAAAAAGTAAGTGCACTTTTTGAAATGTAATCAATGATTCCAGCAGTTTTATCTGATTTTATTTTTTTGTGTCTAATTCATATTATACCCTTCTTTTAGAGAAAAGTCCTTTTCCAGAGATAACAATTATTTTTAGCTAAGTAGACACAATAGCGGAAAATGGAAATTTCATGCAATGTTTTAAATAAAAATATGTGTACAGAGTTTGAATTCTGTACTGCATGACTCATAATTCTAATCTTTTTTTTTCTGAGTCTTGCTTTTCTTCTTATGAAAATTATATGATCCTTCTTATAGCCTAAAATTGAGTAGAAATTTTGACAGGAAGATCTCTTCATGAAGAACCTGAGGCAGGTTCAAAGCTCCAATCCTTTTTTTAGCTAGAACCAGCAAATGGGAATTGTTCATCATTGTAGTAGAGTATAGTCAGCATTTTTGGTACCAGAGTAGTTAACCTATTATAAGTCATTTTATGATTACTCTGGTTTATACTTAACAGACTTCTTAGTCTGTGTAGGTAAGTATATTAAAAGTTTCAAACCATTTGCTCTATTAGAGGCATTCTAGTTCTTTGTACCCCAGCTCTAAACAGCAAGGTACTGTGGAGTTTTGGAAACCCTGTGGATTTCACCACCTCATTCAGAAGGTTTTTTTTTTTTCTTTTCTTTCTTGCTTGCTTTTTTTTCTTTTCAATAGTGTCAAAGCTTGATCCAGTCCTTTTTACAACTGGTCCTTTGTCTGCGTGCAAAAGACCATTCAGTAGATGAAGTGCTGGGGTTTGCCCTCATTGCAATAAATCAGAAGGTGATCGGGTTGATATGATGCCTTGAGTTATGCTCAGCCAAGAGCTTGGGCTGGGATCTGAGCAACCAAGTGCCTAAAAAGAAGAGCCATGATTGGTAGTCTGTTTTCTTTCATGCTGACTTCCCCTTAATTACTGGACAATAGCAAGACAGAATCTCAGTGGTCACACATGGAACTGCACAATGCCCTTACTCAATGTCCTTGATGTCAACGTGGTCTCTCTTACAGCTGGCTGAAGAGCTTCAGAACAAGCCATTAAACAGTGAGATCAGAGAGCTGTTGAAACTACTGTCAAAACCCAATGTGAAGGTGAGGACATGCAATAAATATCTTCCAAAAGGGCCACTTTCTGAGACTTCCGATGAATTTTGTTTCAAGCATCAATTTTCAAGTAAATGTATTTTGAAAATGTGCATAGCATTTTAATAGCCTAACTGTCATTCAGGCAAAAGAGTCAAGCTTTTGATGGTAATGTGACAAATTATAAAATACTTAATTGGGAAGCTCAGAATTTCAGTTGGCAGATATTACATGGCTTCAAGGTTGTTTTCCTTTTCTATGAAGTAATGAGTACAGAATACAGAACCTATTAGTGATTTGGTTTAGGTTGATCTTACTTGACTAGTTAATGGTATTCCAGGATGTCTGACAACTATCTTTTTCTGTAGGGTCATTTCAGCATTCCTCTTCCTCCTCCCTCTTTGTCCTCCTATCTCTTCTCCCTCTAGCAATTCATGTTTTAATATATCCTACCATTTTACAGAGCAGTTTTCCAGGGTAAATACCACTAAAGTATCAGTAGACAGATTTCAGTTTTCCTTGCCATTTTCCTCCCACGTTTGTTACTTATTTTTTCACCAAATGTAGTTAGTCAACAGAAGGCATTTTGAAATTTCCTGTTAATTCTAAGGCCCTCACTGCACTAAGTACCCAAACCTATTCATGTGGACTTGACACTACTGTAATTATATGTAAAATATTATTCATGAGTCAGACTTACATATGGATTATGAAATTATGTAATTAAAATGCTTGCTTATGATTTCTAATAAACATATATAGATTGTTGGATGAAAATTTCTACCTAGATGCAAAAACCAATTTCTATCTTCCTTGAAAAAACATTGGAACTATGCTATAATGGTGTTAACTTGATATTAAAAAAAAGTATTAAATAAAAGATGAAGTGAAGACATACATGGGCTATAATTTCTAATCCCTATAAGTAAATAGAAGTACATGAATAAATTGCTGTAAAGGGTAAAGGGAATATGATTAATATGAGAGTAATTGACTTGTAGTGAGTGGTACAGAGGAGATTGGTTAAATTTTAGTTCTAAAAGAATAAGTTGAATAGTTGCTTGATATTAAAAGACACAGTGTGTAGAAAGGATAAGAGCTCATAGCCAGAGAATGCTATGAAAAAGTCTTGATTTGGTCTTAGACTGCAAATGAGAAATTAATATTAACCAGAGCATGGTAAGATTAGCTATGAGAAGCTTGTTAAACTCCTTTTTGCGAAGTATTATATATTGGTTCAAGTATTAGAAATTTCTGACCAAAACGAACATGACTTTGGTGTTCTATTCAATGATGTTTGAAATGAAATAGCTAATAATAGAGATTCGACTGGATGGAAACTAGTGTTTGGCTCGTGAGGGAGTTATGATTTTAGATGGTATTATACACTACCATTGGATAAAACTTTATAATTGAATACTTGAACTTTATGTGGCAAAATATCTTAGGTGAATAATTTTGTTTATTTGTCATATTTATAAAAAATGGATGAGAAGTCAGTATGTTCAGGAAGTAATTGGTAGAAAGGTAAGATTTTAGGCACAAGATGTTTTGGTTGGCACTGCCTTTTTCTAGTTAGCCAGTCTTAGGAAGAAAAGAGCTTTCTGCCCTTTTAACCTAACATTTAACATTGCTTTCCTTGAAATCATTTATATTAACTATCATCATGTTGAATCGCACTTTTATAGGTATTACATTAAGAAATATAGCCCCCATGTAAGTTTTAGAATATATCAGAATATGATTAACCACTCCTTTTTGTCCTGGGAATAAAATATTTGCCTTTTTTTTTTTAAGCAGAAGCAAGGTACAGAAGAATATGACATGTATACATGAATTGTTAGTTGAACTGGCAGTTAAAATATGAAAAATGAATTCTGGGGTGTTAATTTGAATATTGTCTTTAATTTTTAGTGGATAAAGAAAGTATTTACTTTTAAGGATTGCTGTTCCATTTTAAATATGCAATTCACAAAACTGTAAAGAAACCTGAAGTGTACTTCCAAAGTAATAATAGTGACTTTTTTAAACACACCACAAATATATACAACCAAATATGTAGCCACTATGGGAAGGTAATACATGTATCCTACAGATCTGCCAACTCTTTTTGAAAAATTTTAAAACTTTCTTTGGTAATTTGTAAATGTCACTGGAGTCAGATCTTCATTTGTTCATTCTTGTACATTTTTTTCAATGCCTACTCTATGCCAGTTTCAATAGATTCAACTTATGGAAGATATATGTAGATTAATGAAAGTGATAGGAGAAATATTGGGTTAAATAAAAGGGAATATGTGTAACACAGAGGAGTGATGCTAACTCTAAACTTGGGTTGGGAGCATAATAACCTCAAGATATATATATATATATATATATATATATATATATATATATATATATATACACACACACACACACACACACACACACACACACACACACACACAATGGACTACTACTCAGCCATAAGAAAAGATGAAATACTGCCGTTTGTGACAACATGAATGGATCTTGGGATCTTGAGATTATTAGTATGCTAAGCAAAATAGGTCAGACAGAAAAAAATCAAGAACCATAGGACTTCAGTCATGTGGGGAATAAAACTGGAAGCAACAAACGAACAAGACAAAGAAACAAAAACTCATAGACACAGACAACAGTTCAGTGGTTACCAGAGGGTAAGGGGGAAGGAAGGGTGGTAAAAGAGGGTAATGGGGGTCAAATATCTGGTGATAGAAGGAGAACTGACTGGGTTGTGAACACACTATGCAATATATAGCTGACATAGTATAGAAATGTACTCTTGAAACCTATATAATTTTACTAACCATTATCACCCCAATAAATTTACATAATGAAAAAAATAAAAAAATTAAAAATTTCAAAACAACTCTATGGTATTTGTCTTTAATAAGTTGTGATAGGTTATTACTTTAATTTTACCTTTCAGGAAGTACTTTGACACTTTTAAAAATACACAGAAAAATTTTTTGATAATATGTAATTGTATTTTTAATTCAAACTTTTAAGTAGAATAAGTAGATAAATACTCTTAATTGGCTACATTACCTTTCATTCCTTTTTGTATACAGAAATATTACAAATACACTTCCATTACAACTGGGATAATAGAATGTACTACTTATGGTTTGTTTTGTGTACTTTTAACATTTGGATGTTTTGGACTTCTCTTTGGATCAACATAATTACCTACCTAACATTCCTTATAGGTGGACATTCTGTTGTTTCTGCTTTTCTGCTATTTAAACAACACTATACTATACATCTCTCGTATATTACAGAATTTTATTTGGTCAGTAAATTGTTCGGTTCAAATGTTTGTTCATTAAAATTTTGATAGTTATTGCCAGCTTGTACTTAGCAGTCATCTAGACAGGGTCTCTCAATGTACATTGCCTTCAGCACTGCATGAGAAGACCCTTTTTCTCTATGCCTTTGCAAGCCCTCTTCAATTAATGTGTTTTTTTTTTAGCTCTGCTAGTTGATCACCACTAGAATATATTCCAACGTTTTTCCTGTATTACTTGTTGCCCTCATGTCTTGAATAGTTAGGAAATGATTTGTCATTCTGTAACAATAGTCTCATCTGAGAACTGTCAAAGATGTAAAGATTACATCCAATCTTTAAATCTTTGAATTAATTGGTCAGGTGCCATATACAAAAAATAAGCAAGTTTTCTAATTACTCAATAATGTGTAAAAATCCAGTCTTCTTCAAATCTTAAAGTCCAGAAAAAAAATAACCAAGTATGAAAGAAGTAACAGATAGTGAGAAAAAGGAAATGGTAGTGAGTAGTGAAACACCTAAGTAGAATGTGAAAGCTTGCTGCAGTGATGGACCCTTCCATCAACAATAATGTCGGTGGCACTGATGGAGGTATGGTGATCTCTACAAAGGCCTTGTTTCTCGAGGAAGCAAAGGGAGTCATTAATAAATAAGAACTATTCCTAGGCATCAAATTGTCACATTAAAGGCAAATCAACCTCTATGAGACACCATTCTATGCCTTATTTTTGATAAAACAGTGAAGTGACATCATTTCTAGAACATGGTTTTATAATTTAGGAAGTCAGGGAAAATTTGGTAGGTTTTGTAAAAGCCAAAAAAATAAAAAGATTTGTTGTAATTGTTCACCTGTCTAAAACATTCACTTACAAGAAACTGCTGATTGCCTGAGCATGCAGAATGGATGAGATTTCATTGAAGCAGGCTAAAGGGAAAAGTTAAGCTTCCTTCTAGAGGAATAAATCAGTGTTACTCATCCTTATGAGCTAGACAGTTGATTCTTTGGACCTGGCAGATACTTAGGATGTAGAACTGACTTCAGGGGGTTTAAGGCAATGAGAGCTTGTGAACCTGATGAGTTACAGGGTCTGGTATTCAGTTTCCTGCAGATTTTTCTAAGAGGCACAAACCTATCAGTTGTGATTGGTAGTTAAGATGTATGGAAACACAATTTTCATTTAAGTATTGCCTTTTGAAAGGAAAATCTGTATACTGAAGAATAAAGTCAGGACAGTTAAAACAGGAAAGTGGAATACAAAGTTACTTTTAGTTGTCTGAAATAGGAATGTTGCTAACCAAAAATAAGAAGGCTATTAAAAAAATAGGAACTTGATATCTATATTTTGAAATATAGACATGGAAATTATTATAAAGCTAAGGAAGAAAGCACCTACCTGGTATTCTGAATATTGCCTATCAACTAAAATAATTTATTTAAAAATATGTTAATTATATGTCTCTATTATTCTTACTATGTATGTGATAGTTACCATGGATACCTAGATAGTGGACATTTCTGGTATTCTTCATTCCTTGAATAGATCCATATTCCCATCTGCTGTCATTTTTCCTGTCTGAATGACTTCTACAACATGTTTGGTTTTTTGTTTTGTTTGTTTTTTTGGAATACAAATCTGCTGGTGATGAATTCCTTCCGCTTTTGCATGTCTTTAAAAAATCTTCAACATCCCTTCATTTC